ATACAGGTCACTCATCCGTTCAAAACTTGATTATGGCTCCATCGTCTATGGTGGAGCCTGTAAAAGTAATTTAAAAAAACTTGATACGATACATCATCAGGGCCTGAGGCTTTGCCTTGGTGCCTTCAGGACGTCTCCAATTCACAGTCTATATGTAGAAGCGGATGAACCTTCTCTTAAACACCGCCGTCTAAAATTATCTTTACAATATGTCAATAAATTATATTCTAATCAGTCCAATCCAGCTTTTAATTGCGTCTTCAATCCTCTTTACCAAGATATTTACAATAAAAAGTCATCTCTTGTTCCACCACTCGGAATCAGAATCCAGTCTGCCTTGTTTGCTTCCAATATTCAACTGCAAGATATAGCTCCAACTCAACTGTTTTCAACACCTCCTTGGCAAATGGTACGGCCAGAGGTTGACCTTACATTAACAAAATTAAAGAAATCAGCTACAAACCAATTAATTTACCAACAAGAATACCTTCAACTAAGAAACACTTACGACACTTATAAATCTATATTTACAGATGGATCCAAGGATGGTGGCGCAGTTGCTAGTGCCACCGTCATTGGATCCAGAACAATATCTTCACGTTTACCTGATAATAGTTCCATATTCACTGCAGAAGCAAACGCCATTTTTACAGCACTTAAATATATCAGTAATCAAGCTAAACATAAACAATTCATACTGTTTTCAGATTCTCTTTCATGCCTTCAGGCGATTAAAAATATGTCACCCAAACATCCACTTTTAATCGAAATTCTCGAATTATTTAATGATCTTGCTACTGGCCAATATGACATCGTCTTTTGTTGGTTACCAAGCCATGTTGGTATCATTGGTAACACAATGGCCGATGCTGCTGCAAAAGCAGCACTCAACAAATCTGTGACACCACTTCTGATCCCATACACTGATTTTAAACCCATGATTCGATCTTACATCAGAGATCTTATGCAACAGAAGTGGGACACCCAAGTAGGTATCAATAAATTACATGAAATTAAACCAAATATCAGTTACACCTACTTGGGCTGTCAGTCCAGATTTGAAGAGGTCATTATGCGACGATGTCGTATTGGCCATTCAAGATATACACATGAGTATCTTTTAAATGGTGAGGATCCTCCGTTTTGCATCCCTTGTGATGAAAGAATCACAGTCAAGCATGTCCTGCTTGATTGTATTGATTTTTCCATCACAAGGAATAAATATTATAGTGTCAAAAAAGTGAAGGACCTTTTTAGTCAAGTTAATTCTCATTTAGTATTGCACTTTTTAAAGGAAATTGATTTAATACATAAATTTTGATGTACATAATATGTTTTTATATATTGGTAGTGCTAATATATAACTTAGATTGTTAGTGGCTGTACCCTCGAGGGGGGTTGAAGTAGCGTAAAATTATTGTCCCCCTAAGAGGGTATGTAAGTCCCACATCATTCAATGTATTGTTATGCATACCAGAATTTTAAAACGTAGTATGTTTGTCATTTTAATCTAAGGCTTAACTGGTCAACTATCGCCAGTGACTGAAGGACTGATATAAATCCAGCCAGGGTCCATGCAGGAAGCAAAGGCACTGTAAGTCCCCATGGTCCCTGGTATGGTGTTCTCCCTTTAGTTACTGACGATCTCTAGCCCATTTTTATATTGTGTTGTTAATTCTTTCTGCTTTTATATGTTCCTCAACTAGTTTTAATACACTCTGTGATATTCTAGTTATTGTACTGTCCTTTGCTGACAGGTTTTTTATAAATTATATATACTTATTTGTTATTAATGTATTAATTCTCGTCACGATATGGCTGAAATATTGCCGATGTGACGTTAAATATTAACTCACTCACTCACTCACTCCTGTTGATTAGGGCTGGGACGGGTAACTCGGGTACTCGGGTCGGGTTGGTCCTGTGTAGGTCGGGTGGGTACCGTGGTTAGTCACGTGTTTTGTATGAGACTGCTGTGAATGTTCTGCATGAGATTGCTGTGAGTATTTTGTATGAGATTGCTTTGAGCGTCCTGTTTGCTTACCTGTTTGTATGCTTTGAGCGGGGTTTTAATGCGGATGTGGGTGTGGGTGTGGGTGTGGGTGTGGGTGTGGGTGTGGGTGTAGTAATATAAAAAGTTACAACTAATTTTTCTTTTTTTTTCTTTTTTATATTTTAAATGTACCATTATGTCTCGTAGGCCAACTGGCCGGGTGCTGTTTTTTAATGAAATGTTTATATGTCCATATATTTTGTACTGCAGAATGTGACAATTGTCTTCTTCTTCTTCTTCTGTTATATTGTTTGAAGACAAAAACTCACTATAGCTCAGTGGTTACACTACAAGCGGTTAATGTTCGCATTTCTTTCTGACGATGCACACATTCCTTGATAATGATACATCTTCAGTCAACTTCAGTGAACGCATAATCTGAATAGTTTTAGCCAGGGCTGCAGTAAAACAATTACCAGTCAGACATTTTGTTCCCTACTCTTGAGACTTGCAGTGGGTACCCGGGTAGTAGATTTGGATTCGTCCCAGCCCTATTGTTGATGCCACATTTGGTGTTGATTGTCGCCTACAGTCCTTTCAACTTCATTTAAAGGTACACTTGGACCCCCTGAGAATTAAAGACTGACCACTGCAGCCATTTGGAAGGAAATGTGTATTTACATGTGCATTTGCCATGTATCAAATACATACATTTTGCTACGTCTTTTATAGTTTATTGACATTGTCTTATGTATACATGTTTAGATCAATAAGTGTTGCTAGTAACATAAATCTGTTCATCAATCAGTTAAATTCACAGACATGTGGGGGCCCTACATATGACACGTGTTTACTCGTACAAGTGAACTCATTTCACCAATCGCCTAATATATCACGGGGTGTCATCAGACACGCACAACCGCTCGGCTGTAACTGCTAATCCCTTCAGCCCGTGTTGGAGGCTCAGCTCAATCTCCGGCTCAAATCACTCTAGCGTGACTTGGGCCTAGGAGATTACTCAACAGACAGACAGACAGGTATGTTTTTGTCTCACTCGTAGATCAACGAGTGGCTTGGCCGGGCCCATGTGCGAAATACGCTGCAGTCGGAGAGCGCACGTAAAATCTCCAATATAAGTAAGTAAGTAAGAATACACTTACAATATATCAAGAGAAGTATAAACATAAAATTCTACAACCAGTCGCTGGATTACTTACGAGAGACAATATGTCCTTAAAATAAACAGTAACACACAGCGATAAGATACATACGTTTTAACCTCAATGATATAAAATGGAACGTCGCTTTGTTAAAATGTTATGGCAAGATTAGGCCACGCAAGAAATAAAATCTACGTTTGATAAAATCTGTGTCAACTTTTCACTATAAGAGTAATTATTAAAATTAGTAAAATTTAAGACTGCAGCGATTAAGGAGATCAGCCCACACAGCTGATAAAGGGCAGATAAGTAAAACCTGGATCTCGTCTTCCACCTGGTCTGTACAATTAAAGCAACATCTCTCTTCTGGTGGTATGTTTGTGTAACGTCCGGTCTCTATCTTTAAATGCGCCACTTCGCATCTGAATTTAGAGGGCACGCCAGAAACTTATGATTGTGGGTTCGAATCCCGGTTCGCCCCAATTATGTTTCTAGGTTTGTCAGCACCATACCCGTGCTCGTGGGTTTCACCGAAGTGGTAAACGTCTGAGACCTGCATCACTTCGGGTTTTCCTCCCACATTAAGCTGACACGCCGTGACATAACTGGAATAATTTTTAAAAAGCGGCGTTAAGCCCAACTCACTCACTCACTCACTGAATTAAGAGAGATTTGAACCGAGGCTGAGATCACACCCCGAAGCTGAGCTCAGAGCACTCCTCCATCAAGGGCTGTGAAATCACTCATTTCAAATGTCCATTGTTGATTGTATTAATTGTTGCTATTACTATTTCATTAACAATATTATATGTATCTTTAGATGTATTTTGCTGTGCTATATGTTAAGTACTTTCGTTTTCTCTGACATCCTGAGCCCCCCAATACATGCGGTCAGGAATTCGAGGGTCCGTAACGCAACACATATATCCACTCTTTACAAACTGACGACACAACACTGGCTTTACATCACACTGACAATAACTTATTTTTTCCTTCACAATATGAACAAGCTTACTTCAAAAGTTTTTAGTTACTGAAATAAATTTACGTGTTTCTATATTTTTTTAAATTTTGCTCATTGCCATCTCATAAGGAAGAGTACACATCCGTTATTAGAGTGAGTGAGTGAGTATGGTTTTATGCCGCTTTTAACAACATTCCAGCTACATCACGGCGGGGAACACCAGAAATGGGCTTCACACATTGTACTCATGTCGGGAATCGAACCCGGGTCTTCGGCGTGACGAGCGAACGCTTAAACCACTAGGCTATCCGACCGCCTCTCCGTTATTAGAAGATTTGGCCAACGCCCAATAGTGTTTATTCATAAAACTGGGAGACCAAAGGTCTAAAGTACATTTAATACAGTTTTTTTGAGTTCAGCATACATATTAAGTAAGACACGATATCCATTGTCTACAGTGAATATTCATCAAATCTTCAATAAAACTGACACTACCCCTACATGGACGTTCTCTCACACACACGCACGCAAGCAAGCACGCACGTACGCACGCACGCACGCACACACACACACACACACACACACTCCACACGGCCCCATATACTACCCTAACCATCGCTCACACACATCTTGTCACTCTACAACGCAGTAGAGACCGCCTCCGTGGTCTAATGGTAGAGCGTCCGCCCGGAGAGCGGAAGGTCCGGGGTTCGATCCCAAACCCGCCGCATACCAAAAGACGTTCAAAGATGGTACTTGTTGTTACCCTGTCTTGCGCTCGGCATTAAGGGGCTAAAACAAGGACTGGTCGGCTCGGAGTCAGTAAACTGTGTCTGAGTGGGGTATTCATGTTAAACTGCGGCATGGTATCTCAGTGTGCTAGCACTATAAATCGGCATCAGTCCTGACTAGTACAATCAGCCACACACACACATACACGTGCATGCACGTCGCTATATAAGTGCAATAATCTTGGACGCGACGTTAAACCCCATTTCAGCTCACCTCACCACGCCGTAGACACACTCACTCCCTCACACCAACCTTCTGGCACTTCCCCCAACACCCAGTCCCACACACATACACCAGAAACATACATACAAAGTCGATACATGTATATACATGATATACATAGCTAAAATACCAGCCATATAACTAGTACTTGTCGCGAACATGTGAATAATTTCGCGATAACATTTGCCTATATTAGTAGGTAATGCCTGCGTTTATACACGGCTATTTAAACGTCTACTTGATTGTTTTCAGATAAGGTCAGTGAAGTTAATCGGAATACACTGATGTCTGAACAGTTAGTAGCTAAGACACAGGACAGTCTGTTAAGAAGTTCCGTCTTCCGGGGTAGTACAAGCATCGCATGTCGAGCATCTAAAGGCCTGACCGGCCTTGTGATGAACCACATCTAAATTAAGTACGTTTCTCTTATGTCTGGACACAGTTCTCTGTAGATATTTCACTGCCATTCTTGTATGAAGCTCTGTACATTCGGAGTTCTTGCCATGTCCCATCATTCCATCAGTCTTGAAACCACAATTGGTTGTCTGTAACGGATCATCTTTCTTTAAGAAGCGATCGATTTGTTGAATATTAAGCATTCATAAAATCCCCATTTCACGCGCGTTTGGATGCAAGGGAGATAACTTTTGATACCCAAGATTTTCTTCACCATTTGAACCACTTTAAAACCACAGGGGTTTAGCGCCGTCAATGCCAAAGCGGAAGCAACTAAAATTTGCTCGTTTAGCAGTAACAATTCTGATTTCACCGAGCACATTTAGTCATGAGGAATCTCCGCTAGGAAACAGTGGAGTCTGTTGTTCAATTCCGACTGTATCATAGGCATGTGTTTCTGAATCAGTATCAAACCACCGACATGCCGAAATACTGGTGCTTCACTTTATTGATTTACATCCTCTTGTCATCTTCAGGGCCCATGTGTGGTGACCTACCCACTGAATACTTCCCGGTATTTACCGGTACCCATATTATGAACCGGGTGTGTCGTCTACACATCTGATCTGATCATGTCAGCCGCCTTCTCTGCAATCATGATGGTCGGGGCGTATGTGTTTCCGGACACAGAGCTTGGCATGACGGATGCGTCCACAACTCGCAGTCCAGAAATTCCCTTTACTCTGAAGAAGGACAAAACTATTAGTTACCATTGAAAAGTTCACAATTATGTTTACAAAGTTGTTTCTCTTACCCAAGGACCCGCTTCATTCTTACCCTTGGTCTCCTCGAAGGTTTCACCAAAGTGATACCGCCTATGACCAGAGCCTTCGTGGGTTCAGATACTCCCAATTATATTTCTTAGTTGCCAGTACCTCGGGCTTCCCTCCGAAATTACGCCGTGATACACCATGAGTGAGTGAGTGAGTGAGTATGTTTTACGCCGCTTTTAGCAATATTCCAGTAATATCACAGCGGGGGACACCAGAAATGGGCTTCACATACTGCGATCCGAGATGAGTTACTCCCCTTTGTATTACGTCACGGCACTGAATGTTTGCACGTGTCCGCGGCGAGCTGAAATTAACAAGTGCGTCGATGAACAAAAACAAAATAAACAACAGATATATAAACACTGAACTTGCCTCAAGTTAGGATCCAGCACTGTAGTGGGGTCACTTGGACTCCCCATCCTGCACGTGCCTGTGGCATGGTTGCCTGTCGTCGCTAGTGCCCGGACGTAACACTCCCAGTATGCATCAGTGTCGTACTGCATCGTGGTGCATGTCGGGAAGGGTGTGTCATCAAGCTTGGCTCCTATTTCCTTGTATGCGTTTGTCTGATGAAGTTCCTGGTTCAGTCGAATTCCTTAAGAATTATACAATATTTCAACTGAATACCCAGTCTATACAGCGCTACATATATACTCTAATTTTGTGTGAGAGTGTGTTTGTTGTTTACCGCCACACTGCGCAATATTCAAGCAACATGTACTAGTATATAGCGGCGGTCTTTAAATATTCGAGGATGTTCCAGGCAATCCAGTGGTTGACATCATGAACATCGGTCATGCATCAACCAAGCCATTGATTATCAAGTCCCGTTAGTCGCACTTCTTATCGATATCTAGATCGTCATTGGGCGTAATTATTTTATTGCTGTAGATATAGATTCCAAAGAAACTACAATCCACGGAATATCGTTTTTGGATGCTGAAGTATTGGAATGATTCTAAGTTAGTATGAATCTTCATGTTTTGAAATGTAGATATAGGTCCAGTGTCCAGGGTTTCACGCCGCGCTGAACAGTATATGACGGCTTGCATCTCATTGTGGGAGGAAAGCCCGAAATGACGCAGGTATCTGACGTTTACAACTTTGGTTAAACTCATGAGGACGGGTAAAGTGCTGACAACCTAGAAACATATTCGAGGCAAACCGGGATTCGAACCACGATCATAGGTTTCTGCCGTTCCCAAGGAACGCAACTCTGCACAGCGAGTTGCGGCGTCTTAGACGACTGGTCCACCCGTGCTCCCTTGGAGTATTGGAACAAATGATGGACAGGGACAACTGTACATAATGTACATTACTAAAAAGCAATTCATTGCTGTGTTTAAGGATTCGTTTTAAAATCAGTGCGTGGCTTCAAGGTTATCGCTTGACGTAAATTATTACAGTAAACTACGGTTATAACGAACTCAAAGGGACTACTAATTTTAGTTCGTTATAACCGTAGTTCGTTATAAGTACATATACAGCATGACTACAGCAAGTAGTCGGGACCAAAAAGTAAGTTCGCTATATCCGTCAGTTCGTTATAAGCGTGTTCGTTATAACCGTAGTTTACTGTACCTAATACATATTCTGATAGTCTGGAAATGCATTCCTCTTTACGATTTGGAGATTGATTGAAACCTTTTAGACTGTCCCATTCAACACAATGAATGGACATTTCTCTACTTTTACATCACTTTTTGTCCAAGTCCTGCTAGCATCGTTGATCTCCCATGTTTGCTTCAGCACTGAACAGATTACGTATACACGTGGACATTAGACACATGCCATTGATAGTCACCTCTGACCAGAGTCTTGACATCATCAGGGTGAGACAGGTAGTTGGGGTCGATGACAGGATACTCGAAGGGGTTGGTGCTTCTCAGACGGATTGACCCCCTGCTCTTGGGCCGGATGAGAGTTGGAAGTGTGATGAAACCCTCCACTGATGTCCAGTTATAATGTTCAACAATCTGGAGAGAAGATATGAGATGAACAGGGTATATGAAAAATGACACCGTTCGCATGTAAACAACCGAATAAATCTGTTTCTGGTAAATGCTGAGTAGGTGAATGAGTAGGTGGGGAGATGGGTGAATGGATGAGTGGGTGCGTGGGTGCGTGGGTGCGTTGGTGCGTGGGTGCGTTAATGAGTTTGTAAGTTAATGAGTGACCGAAATTTGCACCTTGAAATCCATATTTTTTTTAACCCAGATGTCTAGTTCGTTACGCGATTTTGATTGGTCTGTGCATAGACTCGTTAGTCCAGCCAAAATGTAATATCGGAATTCCAGCCTAGTCCGGCAAGGGTTTGAACTGGACTTTTACAGTCAGTTAACTCCCTTTGGAAGATGGAGGTGATACAGCAGAGCGTTAGCTGTTGGCAGAATGTTTTTATGATTATGTAAATCGTTTTGTCAGTTATTTCTTTAACAGAACGGGTGGTCAGGCTTGGAGGGTTGGTTAATCAGTGGTGTGGTTACATTGCTTGAATTGAGACCGCCTCCGTGGTCTAGTGGTAGAAAGTCCGCCCGGAGAGCGGAAATTCGGGGGTTCGATCCCCAGCCACGTCATATCATAAGACGCAAAAAGATGGTACTTGTTGTTACCCTGCCTGGTGCTTGGCATTAAGAGGATAAACCAAGGACTGGTCGGTGGTCTCGGAATCAGTATATTGTGTCTGAGTGGGGTATTCAGGTTAAACTGCGCCATGGTATCTCAGTGGGCTAGCAGTATAAAATTGGCATTAGTCCAGACTTGTCAAGCAGCCACACACACATTCGTGCTTGCACGTCGCTATATAGGTGCAATAATCTTGGACGTGACGTTAAAACCCACGTCACCTGATTTATGATTGCAAAGTTAAATAACAAACAAACATTGGACACTGAATTCGTACTTTACGGTCAATGTTCAACGCCTGTGATATTGATCTGCTCATGGAAAAGGATATGTATAGCAGTTGAACATCAGGACTTGGCTCATCGGATTTCGTTTTAACAAACGCTGTTGTTTCCGAACCAGCTGCAGATGCCAGATAACCTTAAAGAGAACAAGACAAACCATCATCAAAAGTACGAGGGTGCCATGTAAGCATCACACTAGGCATTAATACGAAATAAAAAGGTTGTTGGTGTTTTGTTTTCTTGATCTGGAAACACTGAGCAGACACAGGGTTCGTCCTACTGAAACATCTCCTCGAAAATAAGTTATGTGTTGTAAGCAAGGAAACATGTATTTGGACACGAAAAAATAACTGATAGCATTTATTGACCTCAAATTCCTCTGAACTCGTTGCTCAAGTTCGTGTGTAACCTCTATATATATCATCCTGATTTGTGCAATATGTAGAACCACGAATGACAACTTTTGTAGTGAGTGAGTATGGTTTTACGCCGCATTTAGCAATAATCCAGCAATATCACACCAAGGACACCAGAAATGGATAACAACCTTTGAATGTGAATATTACCTTGTGTTAAAATAGAGCATGAACAGTCTTTTTTTCAATAATGTAAATCAAACTTATTGCGATTGTGAAATTAATGTGATATTGTCGCTTGATCGCATTGTTACTGTGACTTATTTTTATCTGGATACACTGCAACTTAACAACAGAAATTAACATGTTGATACACAGTTAGAGACTGACCTGATCTCAGTGTCATATACTCGGCCAATGCACTTAGTGATTCAATTTTCCTTTCAGTGAGAGATATTGGATACTTGATTGTCGATTCCATGGGTAAAACCATGTGATCCTTTAGCCTGTCACCCACAGGGAGATCAACGAGGACCTGTATCTGAAAATTATAGTGAAAACATACTTTCAGTTTCGATACGTAATAACAAAAAAAGAATTTGAAAAACCTGGAGACAAATAACTGTTACCTAAACATTTATTAGAAAAAAAACATTTTACAATGAAGTCCACTCATAACCCTGTATGGAGATATATCGTAAGCTCTCCAACATCCAAAGTGTCTTACATAGCATGTCCTGAATTGTCTCTGTTGATCTTTATTCCATGTATTGAAGTGCATATGTGATATCTGTCTCAAAAACAGACCCGTATATTTTTAAGGTACTTTTTAGCTGAAATATGCTCTGTTGGGCCACTCATTAAATACGTATTAATGTTGAACTGGGGGCACGGGTGGCCCAGTCGTCTAAGGCGCCGCAATTCGCTATGCAGAGTTGCGTCCCTTGGGTACGCCAGAAACCTATGACTGTGGGTTCGAATCCCGGTTTCCCCCGATTATGTTTCTAGGTTTGTCAGCACCATACCCGTGCTCGTGGGTTTCACCGAAGTGGTAAACGCCTGAGACCTGCATCACTTCGGGCGTTCCTCCCACATTAAGCTGACACACCGTGATATAACTAGAATACTGTTAAAAGCGGCGTTAACTCACTCACTCACTAATGTTGAACTACACACATACATGAGTAATCGAAGTTATATTCATCATTCACTCACAAAGGGTAACGATACCCTTTCGTCTTTCGACATCATGGTACCAAATATTCCTATTCTTACCTTCATTTCCTCCAAGTGTTTCTTTGGCCCGATCCCAGACAGCATCAGCAACTGTGGCGACCCTACCGCACCAGCTGACAGGATTACCTCCCTTGAGGCTCGCACTCTGTACAGGCGGCCATCTTTAACATACTCGACGCCAACTGCTTTCTTCTGGTTTATCATTACCTGATTTAGTACAAGAAATATTGAGTACGGTTTTCAAGATCTGTTCCGGAAATGAGCTATACCGTCATATTCTGTCCAAGTCACAGTCATTGCGATGGAAACTCAAAAATATTGTTTTCAAAAATCCCAAACTATCACAAAACACCAGTTTACCACTGGACATATCTAGTGCCACGTTTGGTGAAGAAATACTGGACGGTTTTCAATATCTGCTCCATAAACGATTTTCAGACTAAGTCAAAGTCGTTGCCATGGAAATTCGATTTTTTGGGTGCAAAAATCCGAAACTATCAAAAGGCACTGGCTCACCACTAGACCTATCTATGTACCAAGTGTGGTTAAGATATCTTATGTAGTTTTTAAGCTCTGCTCCTAAAACGAAACGCGACGGACGGAGAGCACCCATTCCTATATCCCTCTTCCACTTCGTAGCGGGGGATAATATAACGCATATCACAGTAGTCTAATTATGCGCATCGATGCAGAACTGATTCCCTTAGGTGTGTCCGTAATCTAATTTTGAATTCTAGATTTGCCCTGATAATTGTTCTCGGTCCGTGATTTTAGAACCTGTGGTCATGGGGTACAGTGTAGAGGTAAACGGCTCAGTCCCGTATCAGTTCGAGTTGTCAACTATATCAAACTGACAGGCCATGATATACTGCTGACAGCGGTGTTAAACAAATCTCATTAATCTGAGGTTGAAGACATACGAACAATAAAATAATAATTTACATCTCAGGTGTAACGATAGGATCTTACCTTCGTGACGTGACTGTTGGCCAGGACGTGCAGGTTGGGTCTGTCTATCACTGGCCACAGGAACGCCTTGGATGTGCTCATACGTTCTCCGTTCTTGATTGTTGTTTGTACCCTGCTAAATCCTTAAATAATTGCAAATAATAGAATAGTCACCATGAGGCTTACCAATGCAGTAAGGCTGAGATGGTGTAGGGGTCGAAATTGGGGACGGGTTGGGGGTGATGGTGAGGGTTGGAAATGGTGGAGGGTGTGTGTGTGTGTGTAGGCGTGGAGTGGGGTGGTGGTGGGCGGTTGATAGATTATATTGAATTTTTAGATACAGTATTTGTTGGTCGTGTACGTCGTGGACAGATCAAACTATACACACGGATTGAGATTCATCAGTGTACGTATTATATGAAAGAACAGGATTTCATGAATACTTGAGAAAGTATCGAGTACCTTCTTGGTTTTCGCCATTAAAGTCTGTTTCATTGTAGCCAATCTCAGCCCCAGCCCTGATGATATGGTCAGAGACGGGTATGGAATAGACCCCAGTCACAGTCAGTGGACCTCCATTGCCATGGTAGTCTAGCGGCAAATAGAAAATGAGAAGGTTATATTTCTGAACAGTGTACCAAGTTAGGTCATGATGATGAGTTATGCAGTGTGAACTTTGTCATTAATATGAGGAACAAGATGAGGAACCTTTTCAATCGTGACAAGTCAGTAGAATGTCATGACGGGAGTAACTAAACCATGACATCTGATCTATCTCCTTCAATTCCGAACTTTCACATCTGATTTCTGTATTTCCTAAACGAATGTTAACTGGTATTGATTGAGGAATTGTAATGACCACGCCTAGGTGTGAATATTTTAAACCCTGTCATTTCTAAGTCCTACGCCATTTACATCTGAAAGGGTTAACTATCAAGGGAACATTTGTGTATTGTGTGTTTTAAAAACAATTAGGAACAGACACACGAATCCGTATGAGAAGGGGCTGATTAGTTCCAGACTCCAGGCATGCTTCACTGGAGGTTTTGTCAGATGCTGGTATTGAAATGGAGTAGACTATTTTATTGAGAATGTCGAGATCCAAGCTTAACAAGCGACATCTATAAAATCGAGCGCTAGTGGTACCTGATTTTGACAAGTTTTCTATTTTGATATCCTCCGACTTTTTGAAATATGGAAGAACGTCGTTGTAGCTCCATCCTTCACAGCCACTGGATGCCCAACCATTGTAGTCATGGCGATGACCCCTGACATAGATCATGTAGTTCAATTGGCTGGTTCCTCCAATGACTCGACCACGTGGCCAAATCGCCCTCTGATCGAAGAAATCAAAATGCAGCATATTTGTGACATGATGAGTGCATCGTGTAATTAGCATTTACAGAATGTATTGTTTTGTTGTGTCAATTTACAACCGCCCTCAGCAATAGTCCACTTGTAGGACGTCGGACTGTCAATAATCGAGCCTCGACCGGACAATATATGATTGATATTATGAGCAACGGTATACCGTAAACCAGGCGTTATACATTATGACACACAAACAACCAAGTCAACGATCCTGAACACACTATCCTTTAGTCGCCTCTCCCGACAAGCATAGGTGCCTGGGGCATATATTTTGAAAGAAGACTCAAGTCGCCCGGAAAACTGAAACGATGTTTACTTGTTCGGATCAAAACAATCACTGACAATCAACGGCATTACTATGATGACATCATCATAACACTCACACAACCATACCAAACTTCGTTAACATTGCGTTCTATTTATAGAAATACTTCCGGGTTCAGAGTTACCTCCCTTACATCATTCCTCCCTCTCAGATACAATCATACATACTAAGAAATTAGACATTAGACAATTAAGCATAAAACAGGTGAATGTGAAATTCAACAGACAATTGCCAGAGACATTTCAATCGGATTCGCCAGCCCCAAAGTGGCAGAGTGACTATCATGTTTACACTGACTGTATTTCAAGTGAAAATGCCTTTAGTGGCATGTTTGACAATATGTAATTGCAATTAATTATAAATAGTGTTGTATTTGTAATTTTACTTACACTTACATCACTGTCTGTTTTGTCTCTAGGGGATTAGCCAAACACAATCTTGAATGGGGTCTTTTCTATAACCTTATTACAGAACCGGGATTCCAACCGAATTTGTTTTAGATATATAGCCTTAACGTTATGAATGAAATATCTGTGTTCTACAGTTTGTTGTCTATTTATCTTAAATTGAATAATCCATTCCTTTACTTTGCATTTATTTATCTTCAAAATCTATTTCGACCATCTATAAACTGGCATAACCGATGCTCCATAACACAAACACCGAATCATACAATCACAAAATTCTTTTCACACCTCGTTACCAATTCAGCTATGAGTTTCAGCTTCTTTATTCTTTCAAATCAACGTTTCGGTAGAGATGCTAGGTTCATGCAGTGAAAGAATGACGAAACTGCAATCAAGAAGTCTTCATTTAATCTAAGCCACAGAAGGATGCAGCATCCCTATTTTAGGGGTCCTAATAAAGAGCATGGTATCTATTATTCCCTTGATTCCCTCAGGTTGGTATGTGTGTGAGTACACCCTACAAGCAATTATTGGTACCTGTTCTGTAAGGCCTTTCAGTGACTGTTCCTGAGGCTCAGTTGTGTATGACCAGTCGAATATCCCCTGTTGGTTTAGCGGCGCCATCATAGGGATGTCCAGCGTCTTCTGGTTCCGGTCATCGCCACCAGCCTCGATCAGCAGGACAGTCACATGACCATCTTCGGACAGACGGGACGCCAGAACAGACCCGGCGGATCCTGCTCCTACTTGAATACATATTGCGTCGTACACAAAGTGAGTTGAAATGTGTACTTGCAATTACATTTGGCAACTAGAAATAATGGATTCGCGGTAAAAAAGTATAATGATTGGTTAGTGATAAGAGCAGGAACTTGAACAATCATTGAACAATCTATTTGGTGTGTTACACCCAAAAAGCAATATATCAGCCCTGTAAATAATCTGGAATGGCTTAGAAAACATGTCTGGTTGTTATTTTCTGCAACGTGCCGATCCAACTTAGTCTCCTTGCACGATGAACAATAGAGGGTTCGGCACTTTTACAAAAGCGGATCCCCTCTAGGGTGGACAATGTACAGTATTACAGTGTTTGATAAATTATTCATGTACTTCCTAGTCGGACATTTCCTGTTTCCTCTCACTGTATTCGTGTCCTCATTACCTATGATGTAGTCATACGTTGTGTTCAGTTCGGGTGAGAGAATATTGGTGTTAGGAACCGGCAAGACATAAAAGTTTATTCCAACGGCAATGACAGCAATCAGAAGGATGAACACTGTGGAAGTCACTGACGGCATTGTTGTCATCTTGGAAAACAACACAGAATGAATCCATTAGTTCGATCAGTTTATTGTATTTTGTTTCATGGCAATCATACGAATTTTTATATCAACTCAACAGACGGTTTGTGAGCAAAATACTGCACGAACGAAATTCGTTCTCTGACAGGGGGCACGGGTAACCCAGAAAATTATGATTAGGGGTTCGTATCCCGGTTCGCCCCGATTCTAGATTTGTCAGCACCACACCCGTGCTCGTAGGTTTCAGCGAAGTGGTAAACGCCTGAGACCTGCATCACTTCGGGCTTTCCTCCCACATTAAGTTGACACGCCCCGATATAACCGTAATACTGTTAAAAGCGGCGTTAAATCCACCACACTCACTCACTCATTCTCTGACAGGCATGCCATATCGTAGTTCCATGTTTGGTTGATAGTACTTGGTAGTTCACAAACACACGTGTATGGTAGATAAAAAACAAGGATATTCGTGCCTTGTTCCTTTTACTTTGAGCACAAATATATCTACAATTTTTATTTTACACTGTTGGTGTAGTGAAACGTAGGCGGATTACACCCTGGTATACTATTGATGTATGGATCAATCTCAAAGTGGTACTATTGTTGAATTACTCAAGTCAAACTGTGGTATTAGTGTACAATCGAATCACGTCACACTGTTTTACTGTTGTTAGACAGTGGAGTACTATTGTTGAATTCATCAAATCACACGTGTGTAATTGCTGGACAAAGTCTCACTCTGCTATTATTGTTGAATTTATCAAGTCAAACCGTGGAACTACTGTTGAATAAATAAAGTCGCAGTGGTGCTGTAGTTCAATTAATCAAACCACACTTTACTATTATTGTTGAATAAATCATGTCACACTGTGGTACTATTGTTGAATAATATAGCCACACTTTACTATTATTGTTGAAGGAATCATGTCACTCTGTGGTACTATTGTTGAATAATAAAGCCACACTTTACTATTATTGTTGAATAAATCATGTCACACTGTGGTATTATTGTTGAATAATATAGCCACACTTTACTATTATTGTTGAATAAATCATGTCACACTGTGGTACTGTTGTTGAATATTATAGCCACACTTTACTATTTTTGTTGAATAAATCATGTCACACTGTGGTACTATTGTTGAATAATATAGCCACACTTTACTATTATTGTTGAATAAATCATGTCACACTGTGGTACTATTGTTGAATAATAAAGCCACACTTTACTATTATTGTTGAATAAATCATGTCACACTGTGGTACTATTGTTGAATAATAAAGTCACACTGCAATATTATTGTTGAATAGATCAAGTCACATAGTGGTAGTACACGTGAATATATCAAGTAACACTGTGGTACTATTGTTGAATTTATCAACGCACACTTTATTAGTATCAATGACTAAATCAAGTCACACAGAGGTACTGTTGTTGAATTAAACTGTCAAACTGTGGTATTATTGTTGAATATATTAAGTCACACTTAGAATTATTTCGAACTAATCGAATTACACAGAGGTACTATTGTTGAGTAAAGTCACACTCTGGTATGGGTGTTGCATTAATCAAGTCAAACTGTAGTACTATTGTTGAATAAATAAAGCCAAACTGAAGCATTGTTGTTGATGTATATATATATTGAATATACAGTTATTGTATACTTCTTTGACAACCATGTCTTTTAAGACCATCTTACACACACACACACACACACACACACATTATCAATACATCCTTGTCAGACCCATGATCAATTTCGCAAGCTGTCATACCCGCAGTCAAACAGTTTCCCTTTCTTTACCATTGCAATATCGGTGATGCTGAACACGTCAATGCATACAAGACGATTCAAGTTGGCTTTTTTTAAAATGCCATAAAAACTGTTAATATTGTATACAGGCAAGCGGCAAGACATTAAGCCGAAAGTCCTACAAACATAATTGCTTTTTGAAGATGGTCTCTGATGTAAACCATTTTGGGGGTGTATTGCTATCTTGGCTCATTACTTTTGAAACACTGATGGGGTATTCCAGCTTCACGTAACATAAACGTAAAAGGATAATTGTAACTCTACATCTACCTCTCTCATATTGTACATTGTACATAGAACCATTTTGTTCTCTTGCATTGAAAATTTATATTTAGACGCGTTAGTGGTCGATATATTTCACGCTTCCAACTTCGTTATGGCCAAATGCAACGAAAACTTTAACTTTCTTTTCAACATAGTTAATCATAAGTGACGTATAATCCTATTCTAGGTAGCCATCGTTTGCGTTAGGTAGATCAGTGACATGAGCAGATACTCATAGAGATTAGAACATCTTATTTTGCTTCGTTGACAAAGACAAGCGTGTTTTCTTCTGATCTCCTCAATTCTATCACATACTACTGAATAACAAGAGAACATGACCTGCACAGGCTCACAGGTCATCGTAGCAGGTCACTGTTTACATGAACTTGGTGAACCGTGCGCTATCAAGGTCTTCGTTACTTGCCGCTGAAGTTATGTTACGAACTATAAGCTCCACGAGGTAAGAAATAATGAAACCATACCTCCAACCTTACTTTCTTTACAAATGAACATTTTAAGAAAACTTGATCTGATGATAATATTGCATATCAGGACAATCGTATGCACCGAGGATGTATCGGCTTCTGTTTGTAAACTAATATCAGGACTATGACTGAGCATGGTGTGCATCTATTTTTATCTTGACTGTAATGGAGGACTAGAAATCACGTGACAGTAAACAAGATGGCGCCTGATGGACTCGTCTCGACGAGACATTATCACTGTAAACCAAACAAGACATGGACATTTGACCATCATAATCTTAACAGAAATAAATGTTCTTAAAGTTAAGACTCAATTTTAGTTGATTGGGATTGTTATGACACTTGTAATAGGGAATACTTCTTAGGGGCTCGAAAACACAATACGCGAGGATGTATATATTGTCAAGTATCGTCTACAGACGAATTAAATTAATGTTCCCCAGAGCGCAATTATAGATCCATTCCCTGCCCCAATACATGGTGGGGTGGTCTGTTTTGGCCGACGAACGTGTAATTAACTCTTTCCTAATCTATCCTGAATCGGAAGATGTCTGCTTACGACAAAATTGATGATCATGTATACCACCTTGAAACGGAATCTTTGGTCGCATATACCAACAGACTTTCTGCTTATTGTTAAGCCAACGATAGTGCTGCCCGCAAGTAGAAACGGGCTGTCTTTATTAGTATTATCGGACCCGAAACGTTTGCATTACCTTTAGAGAAGCTTTGTGTCTCTGGCAAAACTTTTGAATAAGTCGTTCAACTAACTCATACGAGTTATTGAAAATCGAAGCCCTCTGCAAATCATGCAACGGTTGAATTTCAACACGCGTTCACGGCGACCGGATCAGTCTATTGGTTGGTTTGTTGTTTAACGCCGCACTCAGAAATATCCCAACTATATGACGGCGGTCAGTAAATAATCGAGTCTGGACCAGACAATCTAGTGATTAATATCATGGGCATCGATCCATGCAATTGGGATCGATGACATGCACCAACCACGTCAGCGAGCTTGACCACCTGATCCTGTTAGTCGCCTCTTACGACAAGCATAGTCGCCTTTTACGGCAAGCATGGGTTGCTGAAGACCTATTCTAACCCGGATCTTCACGGATCCAGTCTATTGCAGCATACATGGCTGAGTTGAGATGTATTGCAGAACAATGTGATTATAATTATGGTCTGGAAATTGAGAATATGATTTGCGGTAGACCTGTGTGTGGTATTTAAGACAGTAGAATTAAATGGAGACTTCTGTCTTGGCCTGATCTCACCTAAAAGGAAAACGCACAAGGCATCGAAACTGCTAAGAACATTGCTGATATTCTCATCTAGCTTCACACGCAGCTCGGAATACAAAATGGGAAAGTGGGGCCCAATCTTCACTTGACAACCATCCAGACACGTATTGCCAGCATGATACGACGGTACCAGGCGTCACGTGGATCACATGTGCGTAACCGAGAGTGTTTTCAGACAATGAAGTTGTTTTAGTGATTTTTTGACGATTCAGTTTTAGTCAGATACTCTCATTTTGACGTGTGATCTGACTGATTATAGGTCAAATGTTGTTTGCTGACATTGTGTAGCACATGTCAACAGAGTTTTGTTCATCAAACAGGTCTTCAAGCAGATTGTTTTAGGGTATTTCGTCAGATGAACATAAATAAAATTTGACTATTACCTTTAAAAGTGGTGATCCTTAGCACACTTTGAGTAATACAAAGCATGTGCGTGTATGTATCAGTATCAAATAGTTATGATTCCAAGTGTCCGCGAAGGGGACGCCTCACTGTGCCCTCACCTATTGTTCTTGGTAAAAGTGCAGTCAGTCATGGAAAATTGGGAGACAATAGGTTGACTGACTATTGCAATATATTATGTGTATTATAGAAATTGTGTAAATACTGTTTTTTAGTGTACATATTATATGGCTTGCGGTCTTCCAGTGTTGAATAAATATTGATTGATATGAAATAAATTGGCATGGAATGACATGGCATTATATGGTATGATATGATAAGATATGATGGGACGAACTATGACATTGCTAATGTGTTGTGTGATATGACATGTTGAAATGTGATACAATATAGTTGTGATATATGGTACGATGGTATGTGTAGTATGTTATGATAATGTTATATGAAATAATACTATATAATATGATCTTATAATAATGATACAATATGATATGATGTTATAGAATATGTTGTATGATATAAAAAGTTGTGATATGGTAATAAAGAAACTATGAAATTACAGGGTATGGTATTGTACTGAATGTGTGAAATTATGTGACTGCGTTGAAATGCGAGGTGGAATGACGTGAGGTGATCTGGTGAGATATGTACATAAATTGTATAAAACTGTATATTCTTCAACTTGTACTATAGGCCTGTGGCCTCTTCAGTATGTGAAATAAAGATTAGACTATAGTCTGTTGCAGAATATCAGGCACGCGTTGATTCATTTATACACATTACAAATATATAGATATAATGAACGATAAAATACATTGCATGCAAGAAACATATTAAGATACATATGCAGTTATAATCAATTATATACTTAATTCTGTAATCATAATAATAATAATAATAATAATAATAATAATAATAATAATAAAAAATCTCCCCATTGTTCTTGGTTCCTTAGGTTTGGTACCTTCCAATCTATTGATTGACATGGGAGAGTACCCGGGTTTGCTACCAGGAATACAACCCTTCTGACAATCTGGGTAATGCAGAAGGCTCCAGTGTTGGGGAGACTTCACATTCTCCGAAAAGTTCTGGCTGGGTTTGACTAGGCAGCGCTTCCTGGGAGAGGTGACATTCGCTGTCTGGGCTGCGTGTAGAGGGGGCAAGGGCCCTGAGCTGATAATGAGCTTAACCAGCCTGACCGTGCCAGGATCACCCAAACCCTGTTTACCGCCTTGTTTTTTTTTTAATCTGCACAAAAAAATAATTATCCCTTCTATGTCCCTCCTAGTGACCAATGAGATTTCACCTCTCATATCCCTTGCATTTGCTTCAAACAAAATGGTGGAGCCCAGTCAAGACGATCTGAACGATAATCAAGATCTATATTGTGATGAAACGCGTCTTACTTCGCGAAGTGCATCAAATCACGTGAGCACCTTGATTGAAAACATGAAAAGATTTGGAAAATATCTTAGTATATACTGATAATCAAAAGTATATGCAACGAATCTTGCATCGTTCTTTTGCCTGTCAGAAATCCGAGGAAGGAATTTATGATCGGAATGATGTGACAGGATTTCGGGGATTTTTTTTACAGTTGGTCCTTTAAATATCTCATGATCAAGTAACACATCTGTGCAACGTTGAGCCAGCCCTAACACACAGAAACAGGAGGTCTTCTTCTGTCCACACGATACTCTTCTAACTGTGTCACTGTCTGGAAACGTTTTCTGGAACACTTTGTTAATGCTTTCATTGGAACGTTATGACTTGTGATCAGTTGCGGTTTACAGACCGCCTCTGTGGTCTTGTGGTAGAGCGTCCGGAAGGTCCGGAGTTCGATCCCCGGCCGCGTCATACCAAAAGACGTTAAAAGATGGTACTTGTTGTTACCCTGTCTGGCGCTCGGCATTAAGGGGCTAAAACAAGGACTGGTCGGGTCGGAGTCAGTATACTGTGTCTAAGTGGGGTATTCGTGTTAAACTGCAGTGAGCTAGCACTATAAATCGGCATCAGTCCGGACTAGTACAAGCAGCCACACACACACGTGCATGCACGTCGCTATATAAGTGCAATAATCTTGGACGCAACGTTGAACCCTCACCTCACCTCAGTTGCGGTTTACAACTTCCACAATATTTCGGACTTCAACAGTGCCATATCTGACAAATCTTTACTGCATATACACGGTTGTTAAGCGGAGTAATTGATAACCCATTTGTGTCGTGTCATGTTTCGTAGTAGTACACGACATGGTCAGATGTCAAAAACTAATCACGTGACCGTTCATTTGACTGATGTACACTTTTTCGTGTTTTTCAAAGCAGATTCGCCAATCTTAGCTCAATCGATAATTTTATGGCAAACACTTCACAGTACTTATGTCTGTCCCCTTCGGCAACCTTTATACTTTCCACACCATTGTAAATAATATACCGTCTTGCCCATGAGCATCAGGTTGCCTCGGACACGTGCACACATTCAGTGTCGTGACGTACGATTAAGGGGAGTTAGTCATCCCGGATCGCAATCGCATTCATTAGGTTGAACACACGTAATTCAAGCAATCATATTAATTAATATGCAAAAGGTATGCAAAATCAGGTACGAAGTTTTAATTAATAGATATCAAGCAGTGTTATTGCAAACGTTCGTGGACATTGACAAGCACGTTTGTATTTCCAATATAAATAGTGAAAAAGGCTCACTCGTAGTGCACCATGCGTCCACGATTGGTGTAACTTGATTTTTTGTTATATTCAGAGCAAAGTCACTAAGTGTTGTCTTAGAAGACACCACGTGTAACAGACAGACAGACAATAGTTAATTAACGTGTCAGTTCTGTACATACATGAAACAGCTTTGTACAACTTGACATAGATTGAATGTACAGAACCATTCAATAGAATTATGAGAGACTAATTATCATAAAATGTATACATAAATGATATAGAAAGGATATAGTAAAAAGTTATCCATATAAAAGCTGTTTTCTACGATTAAGAATTAAAAAGCAGACTTTGGCAAGTATAAAACACACACTGGAGTCTATGAAAATTAAACAAAGTTTGTCGATATCAGGTATATCTAAAACCTTATAAGATTTAGCTATACATTCATTAAAAAAGAGTTGCCCTGATATCGTCATGTAATACGCAGTGAAACAAAACATGGACCTCGTCTTCTACGCTGTCATTACAGTGAAAACATTTTCTATGTGGACAGGTACACCTTCGTACCGACCGGTTTCCTCTCGAATAGGAGCCACGCCACATGTGTTTCTCTGTGATCGAGCCCCTACACAATGGTCGATTTAAATTAACATAGTATATACATGTACGTTGTCACAAATTATAAATTGTGGACAGTGAGCATCAGGTTAGAGATTAACATACAACAGGTGTCTGATTTGCTGCAAAGATTTATGTGTTCAAATCGATACAACGTCACATGACACATATCAGACAACATGCGAGGATCACTACCCACTTTGTCGAAGGGCTGATCTCGTCACCATGGGGCAATGTAGAAAATTGCACAATATAAGAAAATGGACAGTGTCAATACTGGTTTTAATATTACTTCTATCGTATTTAAGGCATGTTGTCAATGAGAGAAGGGTGATCTTGGCAAGATTGGCTGGTATCGCTAAAGATCACCCAAGACAACTCGTAACTGTCCCGGCAATACACGTGAAGCATTCGTTTGTGAAGGAACAAGCAACGAGGAACGATAATAATGAAACAGTTAACCTGTGTCCGAAAGTGCCACCAAATCTTAGTAAGTATCTCTTCATATAGCAGTTGATCTTGCTTATATACCATTCTGATCAGGTTCTCATTGTGAATGTTTAGAAGTGCACCAGGGACCCGCCATCTAACGAGGAGAGGGGGGAGGGGGGTTGTGTTGAGAAGAAGAATATTTTGAGAATAAATAATATTTTTTCCCTCATGTTTTACAAAACATTTACTGTTTGTTGGATGTCCTAAATAAAATAAATTAAAACTTGTTCGGCTCCTGTTAGTCGCAACAGGGTGTATGTCACTTGCTCCAGTTCTCTGTTTGTTAGGTGCATATGTTTGAAAAGGAAAATATTACTTGGTTATGTGTGACCCCAGTACTCATTGAAACTCTAATCTGTCCTTTTCATTAAATTGTTTTGTCCATTTGTAGGACTATTAAGCACATGTCCTCAGAAATAGACTTTTTTGTGTGTGTTATCAGTAAATGGTCAACTTAACTTTTACCTTTAAGTGTAATTACATCACTTCCTACAGGAAGTGTAAAGAGCCTACTTTAGCGCGTCAAGTGATGCAGAATGCAACTCTCACCTGACTGCATGTATACGGTCATATTCAAGTAAGGTTGCAATTTATAGGGATCTATAAACGAAAACGAAATGCACATTAACACTGAATAGATGACAATCAGCGATAAAAACAGACAGTTTATCCAGTAATTTAGGCATCACGGCCCACAGTACTATGCAGATTGCATGTTAACATTTGTCACGTCATGTTCACGATTAGATTTTCAATCAAATGACACATTTCTCATTATACAGACATGTTTTAAAAATACAGAAACAGCATGGAACACATCAGAATTTCCAGAGTTAAGCTTTAAAAATACCCTGCAACATGGGGAGAAATGTATACCCTAAATAAGAATACGGTTCACAAATACGTAAGACATGTTATTCATCGTCTACTTCTCCGGATGAACAAATTTTACAAATAGAGTTCACACTATCACCGTCTTTGGACCTGCTACATACATGAACATTAAAATTTACGATAAGCTCTGATAATAATTTGATTTAAACAAATTGAATATCTTTCAGTTTGTAACAAAGATTTTACTTTGCTGTAATTGCTAAGATAAAGTGATACAGAAATACTTTGGTGCCACTGTTGATAAAATATATCCTTTAGTTTTTGCTTGAATGCATATAAAAATAACTGTGGATCTCTCTTTGGAAATCCATACATATGCAAAGGCACTAAGAAATAATAGATTTCTCACATCTGAAACCCAATTATTTTTCCATTATCATCAAGTACCTTAACAATTTGAAACATTGATATGACCCTCTATCAGGCATCATTCTGAGTAATTAATTACCCTTAATTGGCTGGCTACAAAACTATTACTACGGCCAGTTCACCAAGTAGTGCCTATTTTTATGTACCACTTTAAATTTCAATTGTTTTTGCAAACCATTTACAGAATAGTAAAATATTACAACATCAGCAGCAAGGAAAATATGGAATACTGTAAGGGACATTCTCACGATCTCGCATTCTCGCGATCTCGACCTTTCGAAACGAGGTAAATATGCCCCAAACACGAGAATGCGAGATCGCGAGAACGCGAGATTTGGCCAAAATCTCGCATTCTCGTGTTTTTGGTATATAGCACTTTTTCTCAAAAGTCGACAACGCGAGAATGCGGCATTTGGGCATAATGCAAAATCTCGCAATCTCGACTTGTAAAATTAAGCGACAAAATAACGAAATCGCGAGAACGCGAGAATGCGATATTTCATTTTCTCGCGACCTCGCGTTCTCGTGTTCTCGCGTTTTAGACGCTGTCGGTGCGCATGCATAATATCATAAGGTCAAGGCCCATGCGCACGTTAGTAGTCCTTTGGTCATGCTTCTTTCATGCTCTTCATTCTCCAAGTAGCATTTAGCAAACTTATGACTTGAGCTTGAAAATGCCATGTAATTTACATACACAATGTCTGGGTCATCTCCCGTTGTTACAGTTTCCAATGTACTTTATAATAAAACCCTCAACATGCTCAATATAATTTAACAAACGAAATTGTGTATATGAATGTCCAATGATGGTGAAAACATTAATGTGTCCGAAAGCTGGAAACAAAACTATCACCGTCAGTGAGTGAGTGAGTAATATTGCTTAAAGCAGCATCAGCAGTATTGCAGCTATTCGCGGCTACACTGTCAGTTACAGAAATAGTCACAAGCCAGTGAGTCTCTCAATGAGTCAATTTTATACACGGCTAGAATATTCATTAAAATAAAATTCTCACAGACCAATTTGTAGCATTCGGATAAAATGATATTGTCCGATGTTGTTGTTTTGTTTTTTATACGATACCATATTCGCTACTTTAATTAATAGATTTTCATCCGCTCCCGCCTGACAACAAAACATCCTGCCTTACATTATTCTAATGCCCTCAAATACCTAGAAATAAAAGTATCGTTAATATGAGTGTTCCTACTTTCTTTACCCGATAAAATACTCCATACACGTAGCCCTACTGAACACACATGATGCATGTGAATCGCACCCGTCGACAGCAATTGTACACATATGCCTAAAGTAGGTCTATAAGAACAAAATAGAACGTTAAAAATAAAATGCCTCCTGTCTCCCATGTTTTTAAAAAATCAATCAAACTGTAACTATTAATTTATTGCGGCCTTAACATCCAAATGACAGGCATGCTTATACTGGAAAAGTACCCTCAATATCCATCCTGGGGGATCGGCATGGCTCTGAATAAGTGATTGAGTTTGCCTTAACACTGCTTTGCACAGTATTCATATTTCAGTTATATCCCGGCTTGTCGGTTTAAAGGGGCACTAATCTTCTTCTCGGCTGTCTAACACTGCCAGCTGGGGCTCACTATCTGCCGATTTGCTCGCTGACGCAACTGAGCGTGACAAGAGACTGGACTACCGTGTTCAAGAACACTGATTGGTTACCTGTAATCTCCGAATCTCAGACAAAGGGCGCATGTTAATTAATTTCTTCAGCCTAATCAAACGGACAAAAAGAACGATGGAAGCTCATCGGATGTCGTTATTTGGAAATACCCCAGATGGTTATAAACTGAGGGCCAAAAGAAGCGTTACCAACATTAACTGATTTGCCACTTTGAAACAAAGATTGCCAACCTGTTCAAAAACAGTAAAGAACACATTTCACGAATACAGCTTTCATGTTCTCTGTCGTTCTTTGCACGTGCTTTGTGGGTTTTGGGAAATATTGGTGTTTTTCAGCAATTTTTTAAAACATTCTTTCCCAAATTACCGTGCAATTTTCGGGTATAAATAACGCGCGGATCTGTTCCCTATCAATGGTTGCGATGATTAACACCAACGAACATGCCCAGACTGGCCGCTGTCCAGAGGGAGAGAGCCATAGGTATGCTGCAGATGGGAGCGACACAGAGAGCGGTTGCAATTAACATGAACTGCTCAAAGATGACCATTACCAGTCTGGTCGCACGTCTCCGACAGACTGGCAGAACCGCAGACAGACCACGGAGTGGCAAACCAAAGGTCACGACCCCGCAGGATGACCGCTTTTTACGGGTACTTCATCTGAGGAACATATTTCTTACTGTGACGTCATCAGCTGGCAACAGCTTAGGACATCCGGTCAGCAAACAAACAGTGACCAGACGACTACGACATTATGGTCTCCGGGCTTATCGCCCTTTCAAGGGCATGACCTTGACCCGTCAACACCGACGTGCCAGATTGACGTGGTGCAGGCAAACTCAGCGATGGCAACAAGGGAATGGCGGCGAGTGCTGTTTAGTGACGAGAGCAGGTTCCAACTCTTCAAACCTGATGGGCAGATGGGAGTTTATCGACGACGTGGTGAACGTACTGACACTGTTGTGTCCAGGAGGTTGAACCTTATAGGGGCGGAAGTGTGGTGGTCTGGGGCGGCAAGGGCGGGGACGAGAAGACGGAACTTGTCATCATCGAAGGCAATCTGACAGCACAACGCTACATTGACAATAGCTTACGGCCAGTGGTTCTTCCTTTCATCCAGCGTCAACAACGGACGGTGTTCCAACAAGATATCGCCACACCCCATAAAGCCCGTATTACTAGAGACTTCCTCAACGCCAACAACGTGACTGTCCTGCCGTGGCCAGCCCGATCACCAGATCTGTCACCCACAGAACATCTCTGGGACCAGCTGGGGCGTCGTCTTCGGAAACGTTAACATCCTCCCTTCACGAGACAAGCGTTGATCGTTGCCCTCCGTGAGGAATGGAATCGGATACCTGCAGTCGATGTGAGGACGTTTGTCTACTCAGTTCGACGCCGCATTCGAAGATGCATTGCTGCTCATGGAGGTCATATCCCGTATTGAATGGTCTGGGTCGTCGTCACCTTAAAGTTGTTACCAATGTTGTTGATCGAATACTGGACGAATGGTCCCTTGTCAAGAAATGTCCCTGTTGGAGGTCAAGGACTTTGTTGTTGAATTAGTAAATTCGCATTTTACTGTTCTGAATCATGAATTTCTACAATACAATTGTTATTGCTGCTTCAATTTGTGTTGGTCATATTTTATCCTAGAAATATCGTTGGTAACGTTTCTTTTGGCCGTCAGTTTATTTTTATAGTTGAAAAAAATGGTATCCTAGCAGTGAAAGCATTTTCGGAATTTTGGATTGCGCGGATAATACGATTGCTATCTCTTGTTGTCATCCACGTTTTCTGGCATAACCCTACACCTGTGTCTTTGTTGCCATTCACTAAAAGCTCAGTTATGAACCTATTACAGGTATAGTTAGTGGTAGCACTACTCAGATTACCTGACAACGATTCTCATTTGGTATGTCTTGTGTCTGGGGTAATTATTTCATCTGAATCCAGGTTTGACGTGAGGTGAAATGTATGTTATGTAATATTCACGTCGCAGCCCAGCACGAGGAGTGATCAGTTCATTTACTTTTTTGTAAACGGATCATTCCTCGCAATCAAAAGAAAATACGTTCA